ACAAAGATAATTTTCTGTGATGAATGTACCAAGGCCAATATTTGTACATAAGTAAAATCATGTTTTACTATAGAACAAGTTGAAATATTATGGTCGATAATATACTATAACATTTTACTCTATATATTAACGTATGTATATGTACATATAAATATTTTGCAAATTATCGACGTAACGATAAATGCTAGTATATCTCCTTATAGCTTTATAATATCCTTAAAGAAGATTTACTTTGGATTGATCTTATGTTGTTAATAACCAACAACAAAAACTTATAAAAAATTAAGTGGTTAAAATACTAAAACACTTCACTCATTACTTTCTTTTGAGACAAGTAATATCTAACGCTTACAAGTAGTCAGTCGTCAATATAATTAGAAATCGAAACGTATACAGCAACTAGAGGGCAGCTCTAATTTACATAGCGCAACTAAGTAATGAGAAACAAATTTTGTATCAATATTTTTTATTCAAATATTTAATAAATGCAACTTATTTATTGAGATGCCACCATGATCATAGCAAAGGTGTAGGGCGTGGGTCACAAATATATGCAAAGGTTAAATAAATACGACGAAATATATTTATGCAAGTACCTAAACGAATTTAGAAAAGGACTTTTCAAGTCACATGAACACAAATGCAATAAATTAATTTAATTATGTCCTTAACAAGTGTTTAGAATGGCAAGAATAAAAAACAAATGAAAACAAAAGGCGACGACGGCATTTAAAAGCACAATGTAATCAAGGAAAACATCAACAGTAAATACGAATGCCTGACTTAATGAATATATTCACTGACTGGTTGCCTGAATGAATAAAAGTGTAAATAAGTGAAAGAACAAGGACTGACCCTCATTATCAAACAAACATAAATTCATTTGCAATAATGACGACAATGATGGCCTTGTCAACAATGCTTTATGTGTCACGGAGTGTGAATGTTAATTTTATGTTGCACAACGAAATGTTTTTACTATATTATACTAAGTATGCGACTATGTATGTATGTATTTAAATTTATATACAGCTTATATATGTTTGTATAATTTTTTGTAAATGAAATGTAAAAGGTTAATATAATGAGTTTTTGGATAAAAGAACCCCTTTGTCAGAAGAAAATAGTGCAGAAACTTAAGCTTTAAATAATCGCATAGGTTATTATTAGAGCTTTCAATAACAAGTTAAAATATAAATTTTTAGCAGTCAACAGGTGAACGAAAGGTAATTCACTGGTTTTGCTGCCTTTTTCAGCACTTCTATATGAACACACTTGAAATAACAAAAGGTCAAAATAAAAGCAATAGGCTTTACTTCTAGATGTTAATGTTCTAGCTTTACTTCAACTGGTGATATGTTTTATTTTGGACAATTTTTAATTTTCAAAAAACATAATTGAAAAAAAACAAGGTTTGATGTTAGTGAAAAAGTACCCAGCATTTCGGTCGGACAGTACCGAACTTCCTATTTAACCTACCACTTAGGGTTACCCCTAGTCACCTGCTGTCAAGGTGACTAGCTATTTTAACATGTGCACTAAGTAAGGTGAAATCGTTAAGGCAGCTGATTTTGATTTGTTGTGTCATTTGTTGTGTGCTTGGGATTGTGTCAAATTAAATTAATTTATTTTTATTCTAAAAATATATATTTGTGATTTCGAAGCAAAAAAAAATAAATTTAAAATTATGAAATAAAATTTTCATAAAAAGTTTTCAAATAAGAAAATTCAGATGAAGAAGCATTAAAACATTGTCCTGCTGCATGAAAAGCTAAATGTAACGACGGATTTATAGGTAACTAGCTATATCCAGTGTGCTTTGCTACCCTAAAAGCAATGTAAATAAAAAACACTTTACGATTTTGAAGATTCTAACCAAAGAATAAACATGAAGTGAAACGCTGTCATTTTTTTACAACAATAACATTACGCTCTTCTCACAGACGAGTACTGTGTAAATCCAACACATATGTAAAAATTTTATTCTCTCTCCAAACTTCAAAACTTTTTCGCGAAAATTTGAGGATAATAGCACTTTGAAATATTTTTTATCACTTAACATTATATTTTATAATTTTTTTGCACAACTTAAACACATTTAATAGCCCGAAAATGATATATTTTTTACAAACGAAAAAAAATATTTTTTATTTTTGACATTGAATTTTTGTTGGTTGAAATTAAAACTAAAAAAAACAATGTTGTAAATTTTCGTATGGTAAACGAAAAAGATATTTCAAACAAATATTTTATTTTTTCAATATTATAGATTAAAAAACAAATAGACGTGTTTATAAAATGTTTGTAGATAAAATATGTGGAAAATATCTTAAGAAACCTTTCAAAGTATAAATTGAAATGTAATATTTTTTTCAATATTTTTCAATTCGATTTTTTGCAACTATGTTGACTTGAGAATTCTACTAATACATTCTTAGAGTTAGGTACCGGATGACAGTAGCCTTAGGTACTTTTGACAACAGTTTCATTTCTTATTAATTCTTTGATTCTAACTATAATAGTTTTCCATTTTTATTTTTATTCTAAAAAAAATTATATTTGTGATTTCAAAGCAAAAAAATTTAATTTAAAATTATGAATTAAAATTTTCATAAAAAGTTTTCAAATAAGAAAATTCAGATGAAGAAGCATTAAAACATTGTCCTGCTGCAGATACAAGCTAAATGTAACGACGGATTTATAGGTAACTAGCTATACCCAGTGTGCTTTGCTACCCTAAAAGCTATGTAAATAAAAAAAACACTTTACGATTTTGAAGATATACATTTTTTACATATTGGGGATGCCACGCAAATTATTGCAAGTTCGCCAATTTTTCCAAACGTTAATTTAGATTTGAGGACTCCAACTCTTGCAGTTTCTGAGATAAGCGACTTTTAATACTAATTTTTAATGTGTGTGTCGCCCACTTGAAATTTTGAAGTTAAAATTAGCCTATACAGGAAATCACTGAAAATTTCAGAAAAATTGGTGCAGCCGTTTAGCTGTCTATAAAGTCCAAAGTCTTTGTTATTTACATTTCTTCTTATTTCTATTCTTAGGAAAGAGATGCCAGATCAAATTATTAATTCATTAAAGCTAACAATACTTCAGATACACACTATGTATGTACAAAATTTTGTGTTGATACCGATATATTTGAGGGAGTTATTAATGATAAATTAATTTCTGGAAATATATCGGTATCAACACAAAATTTTGTACATACATAGTGTGTATCTGAAGTATTGTTAGCTTTAATGAATTAATAATTTGATCTGGCACCTCTTTCCTAAGAATAGAAATAAGAAGAATTGTAAATAACAAAGAAGTATGAAATAATAAAGAAAACCAGTCAAGTTTTGAACTCACATGAATACACAACATAAATGGCGACGAGCGCAGTTACTTAAGTCAATGTTCTGGAATTCCAGAATATAATTCAAATTTAAGTTGGACAATTTGGAAGGAGCAATTAGAAATTAATTTTTGTGAAATAGAATGCACTGATGAAACTATAAAAAAGCTACACTTCTCAAAGCAGTTGGGGCTGAAACTTATTCAGTGTTACACAGTTTGTGTCACCCCAATTCTCCTTCAACTAAGACATTTAAAGAGTTATGTGAAATTTTAGAAACCAACTTCACCCCCCCAACAATTATATTTAGTGAAAGAAAAAAATTCCATACATCTTTAAGGGAGGAAGGAGAGTCTGTAAGTGGATGGTACGCACGAGTAAAAAAATGGCATTAAACTGCAAATTTGCTGAACACCTTAATGTAATGATTCATGATCATTTTACTATCGGGCTTCCACCTAAAATTTTTGAAAAACTTTGCGAAGAGGATGAATCCCTCACATTAGAACAAGCGTTGAGGAAGGCCTTGATAATGGAAACAAAATTAGCCACGAAGACCATGTGCGATGACTTACATGTCAATTACATTAACAAAACGTACAGTCGAGAAAGAAACTATAACGGTCAAAACAACAACACTAATCATGGAAGTAGACGAGGTAACAGCGGTGTAAGTTACAACAACGGCGTCGGCAGAAACAAGTGCGCACACTGTGGATGGAAAAACCATGAGGCGAAATACTGCAAATTTAGAGAGAGCAAATGTTATGTGTATGTATGTTCCGAAAAGCATGCAAAAACCGTAAATTATGTATCTGATTCAGACAGCGAAGGCTCAGTTAATAATATTTTCGATTATACTCACTACCAGTAGCAACTGATGGTGTTAACCTCACTGTTGCATGTGACACGGGAGCACCCTGCACGCTAGTATCATCAGTATTTTACAATAACAATCAGACGAAGGCACCTCTCCGAGAGTGTAAAATTCCGTACTTAAATTATAGTGGTCACAAAATTCCTATTATTGGTGAGTACGATGCAAAAATAACATACGAAGGCATATCGAAAATTTTTACAGTTGTTGTAAGTGACACTAATAGTCCACCATTGCTAGGCCGCACGTTTTTAAGAGCGTTTAATTTTGAATTGATGCAAGTGAACTCTGTAGGAGATACAAATAATTTGTCTGTCATTGTTGGTCAAATTGAATCAGAGTTTTCAGAAGTTTTTAGTAGTAAACTAGGTGCTTATAAACTAAGTAAAGTTTCTCTAGATATCGTAGAGGGTACAAACCCAATATTTTTCAAGCCTCGCCCAGTACCTTTAGCGTGGAAAGAAAAGATTGAAATGAAATTGCGTAAAATGGTGGAAGATGAAATTCTGGAGCAAGTGGATAATTCCGATTGGGGAACTCCATTGGTCCCTATTTTAAAACCAAACGGGGATCTAAGAATTTTTGGTGACTACAAGGTTACCTTAAATAAGCATTTAATCGATTTTAAGTATCCCCTCCCTCGTATAGAGGAAATATTTGCCTCGTTACAAGGTTGACAACTTTTCACTAAACTTGATTTGTCCAATGCTTATAACCAGATACTCCTAGACGAAAAGTCGCAACTTTTATGTTCTCTTAGTACACATGTTGGCACGTTCAAAGTTAAACGGTTGCCATTCGGCATTAAAGTTGCTGCATACAATAAAATCGGATGTTACTTCAGATCAAGTACTAGTGCATTTTAACCCTCAAACTCCAATTGTACTGACAACGGATGCAAGTGATAACGCTATTGCTGGCGTTCTTTCACATAATATTGGTGGTAATTTAAGACCAATTTCTTATGTTTCTGCATCTGCACGCATGCAGAGGTGGTCATTAATTTTGTCAGGGTTTAATTATTCCGTTGAGTACATAAAAGGGGATTCTAATAGTGCTGATGGACTCTCTCGTATGCCACAACAAAGTTCAGCAAAAGATATTATTGAAAGTAATTATATAAACCTAATAGAATCAGATGACAAATTTGCTATTAATTTCAAAACGATTGCACGGGAAACTAGACGAGATTTAATATTATCTAAAGTATGTGAATCTGTTCGTAAAGGAAAAGTTAATGTATTGCACAACGAAGATTTTACGCCTTACATAAACAAATGTACCGAACTTTCTGTTGAATATGATTGCCTTTTATGGGGTTATCGTGTTATCATTCCAATGAAACTTCGAAAAGTAGTACTTAATCAACTACATGAGTCACATCTCGGCATAGTTAAGACAAAGGCTATGGCGAGGTCCTACGTTTGGTGGCCAGGTATAGACAAGGACATCGAGAATATGATAAAATCTTGTACTTCTTGTCAACAACTTTTAGACTCCCCTGAGAAAAGTTCATTGATACCATGGACGCCAACCGATTCTGTTTGGAGTCGCATTCATGTAGATTTTGCTGGCCCGATTAATGGTGTCTATTTATTTATAGTTATAGATTCCTTCTCCAAATTTGCAGAGGTCTTTTTGACCAAAGAGATTACGACTTCATTTACAGTTGCAAAACTCAGGGAACTTTTTTGTTGATATGGTCTGGCGGATATATTGGTCAGTGATAACGGCCGACAAAACTTGACTGGTTTTCTTTATTATTTCATACTTCTTTGTTATTTACAATTCTTCTTATTTCTATTCTTAGGAAAGAGGTGCCAGATCAAATTATTAATTCATTAAAGCTAACAATACTTCAGATACACACTATGTATGTACAAAATTTTGTGTTGATACCGATATATTTGAGGGAGTTATTAATGATAAATTATTTTCTGGAAATATATACCTTTGTATGGGGACTATGGGAAATTTTGGATCAATTATTTTGATTTTCAACATAATTAAAAATTATTAGTTAATTAATAATGTGTGACAAAATTCATCGAATTATCTTTTGTAGTTTCTAAGAAAACGACTTAAGAATTACGAAAAAAACCGTAATTTTTTCGAGATAGTCTGACATTTTTACTCATAACTTTTAAAGCTGTGAACCGTTTTTGCTGATTTTCAATGCCAAACTGCTTAGGATAACAATGAATACTTTTGGTGAATTTGGTTGATTTCTTTTGCTTAGTTTTAACGTGAGCGTGTAATGTAATAGCTTTAAAGGAATTAAAAATATGGATGAGAGAATCCCATAAGGCCTCTTGGAATAATGAAACGGTGGGTAGAACCACAAAGATTCTATGGGGTGACCCTGATGAGAGCAAGACGAGAAATCTTCTCAAAATGAGCAAGTCTGAGGTTAGTATGATGGTACGTATTCTGAGTGGACACACAGGATTACGAGCACACCTATACAAAATTGGACGTGCGGATTCAGACGAATGTAGAGCATGTGGAGAGGACAGTGAAACTCTGGAGCACTTTCTTTGCCATTGTCAGGCATTCGTCGAAGTTAGATCCAAGTATCTTGGAAGTGATGTTATTCCGGAAATAACATTCTTAACCAACACCGATTGGAAGATTCTTAGGAATTACGTCCAGGAAACTGAGTTTCTGAACATGGAAAAATAATACATTCAGTGAACAATTTTTTTTTGTCTTTCTTGAATTGGAGCGCACAACAGGCCCGATAGTGGCCTAGGTGTATTTCTTCGGATTTGATGTGGTATACATCTTCCTATCAACCTAACCTAACGTGAGCGTGTTTTAGGCAGACTGACATAGCTAAATCGGCTCAGAATTTGATAAGGACACGGAATATATATACTTATATATACCCTCTATCACCACTAATGGTGGTGGAGGGTATAAAAAAGCTTGCTGGTGGATGGTATTTAAGATTCGGCATAGCCGAGTATAGCACACTGACTTGTTAAAAGTCCAAAGTCTTGTGAGTAAGTTATGAACTGAGAGTACGGTTTTGAAATTTATAAAAAATCTCTGGTAATTTTCAAAGCATTTTTTTCATTTTTAAAATTTTAAATGTTCATAAAGTTGAGAGATAATAAGCTAGTAGTCTGAAATTATGGTTTTACATGTGTGGTGGTATATTATACTGAAATGTATCAAAACATTTACTTATTTTAAAAGAATAATGCAAATACGAGTCATTTTAATTCAGTTTCATCGATTCTTAAAAGTTTTTGATTTTGCTCATATGTATCCTCTAGCACCACTGATGGTGGTGGAGGGTATAAACATAGGTCCAGCCCAAGAATGGTCAACACTCGAAATATTTTGGAAAATTCATATAAATAAATTAATAATATTTAGAGGAGACAATAAAATATCTCTAACGTATTTCAAATAAAGCGAGTCGGTCTAATGTATTGAAGTGTATAAATATGTATGTACATCTGCATACAGATACAAATCTATACACTTTACACCTCATAAAGATTTAGGAGAAAAATCGTAAAGTAAATAAATCACAGACTTACGATGGCTTAAGTACAACAGACATGCATGCAGGATAAACGTACATATGTATGTATGTAAATCTGTGAATCTTGTTTGAATATAAAAATGTATGTATCTGTGAACATGGTAAATGCACATTAGATACAAGAAATATGAAGTTTGCTAGGTAAAAGTGAAAAAAATTTATAAATGCGGGTAATGAATGTAAAAAAATAAAAAAATTATGTAAAGTATACGTGTGGATGTACTTGCATTTGTGGAAGTATGTGCCAACATTAAATCCAGTATATATTCATAAAGAAATATATTTGTATTTCTTTCTATTGCTATTCATTTAGCAATGAACGTATGATATTTATGTGTACTACCAACATCTTGTATGTAGTTATTATGCTGATTCTAAAACATTAATATAAAGTAATTTTATGCTTTTTATTTTGTTGATTTATGTTGACACAATTTTTGTTTAATTACACAATACGATTTTCATTTCGTATCTAGGAGAATTGCCAAGGCACCCACTCACTTGTACATATTCAAAGTTTAATACTAAAGTTAAATACATGAATTTAATAGTTTTTTAATGAAACACACCTTTAGAACTCATCTAACTTTTAAACATATTAAGAGTTCACGTTTGAATTGCAAAAACACTTTTTAGTTTTACAGTGCCCATATTGTGAAATTTAGTTCGAGTTGTGATTAAATTTGCTGTATTATGAATATGATATAACGAATGGTAACTCTAAACAAAATACTTGATGATACAATTTTACATACACTAGCAAAACTAAGTTACAAATTTCTAACAGCAAAATAGTACAGGTTTTTCTCAGGGACTGTACATACAAATTTAGCTTTTATTAAAAAATTGTTTTTAATAATAACTTTTTAAATTTTGTGTTATATTTATTGCTCAGATCAAAACTGTTGCTTTTGAAATGTTATTCTGCCGGAAGTTTTCCAGTTCTCCTCAACAAGACTCGAAAAAGACTCCGGAACACATTAGACGGTACCGACAGCCCACGGTACCTGCTCCTAAAATGAGGAGGTAAAGATTAACTCGACACAAGATGGTGAAACTATCCTATCCAAACGTGGGAAGGGGCAATTAAAAAGATGTCGTACAAACTAGACCTGATAATATTACCGAAGTTCCAATAATAGTGCCCATTAGTACTCACTTCAGGCTATACTGAGGAGTCCAATTCAAAGAGCGAGGAGGTAATCACCAAGGACTTAATGATCATAATTGAAGTTATCTGTTTAAGCTATGATAGCATAAGTAAAGGTAATAAAGGTACAATAGCTTTAACCCAGAACCCGATACGATCACAAACAAGGTTTCCGGACTAACAGCCTGTTTTTCTAAAATAAAATGAAATTTCGTTTTTAAAAACAAAATGAAATGGTTTACGTTTTTGTAACATGAATTTTAAACATGTAAGTAACAATAAATAAGCTTTATTATACCCTCCACCATCATGAGTGGTGATAGAGGGTATATATAACATTGTCATTCCGTGTGTAACACCAAGAAATATTCATCTGAGACCCAACAAAGTATATATATTCTTGGTCCTTATGAAATTCTGAGTTGATTTAGCTATGTCCGTCTGTCCGTCCGTCCCTCTGTTTTTCTGTCTGTGTAAAACACGCTCACGTAAAAACGAAGTGAAATAAATTATTGAAATTTGGCCGGAATATTCCTTATTGTCCTAGGCAGTTTGGTATTGAAAATGAGCAAAATCAGTTCACATCGGGAATAGTTATGAATCAAAATTTAAAACAACTCCGAAAAAAATAAGCATTTTTTACACATTCTGATGTAATCTTCCAGAAAACTGTGTAATATAATTCCATGAAAATCATCACACATTTGGTTTTACACGAGAGCTTTATTCCTGTTGAAAATTGTAATAATCGCAATCGGTCCACAATTTACTACACCTCCCTTACAAAAGTACATATTCCCGGAAAATGAGTTCATTGTTAATCATTTCCGTCAGAATGTTGATACCTTCACAACATTTTACAAATTAAAATTCTATGTCAATAGAATTCATTTAGAGAAAAAATTTACTGGATCGGTCCATAATTGGACATAGCTCCCATACAAGGTGCCCTCCCTTACTAAATTAAGATATCCATATATTTAGTACAAGTATTGCTATTATATACAGAAATATTACCGTAAAATTTTTTTCCGATCGTTCCGTAATTGGTCATAGCTCCCATACAAGGTCCGCTCCCGAAAATCACTTAACCGAAAATAACTCATTACTTAATTAAGATATCCATGTAAAATTTGGTACAAGTATTGATCTTATATACAGAAGTGTTACTGTGAAAATTTTTTCCGATCGGTCCGTAATTGACCATAGCTCCCATACAAGGTCCCCTCCCGAAAATCACTTAAACGCACATAACTCATTACTAAATTAAGATATCCATATGAAATTTGGTACAAGTATTGCTTTTATGTGCAGAAATATTTCTGTGAAATTTTTTTCCGAGCGACCCATAATTGGTAATAGCTTTCATACAAAGACCCCTTCAGAAAAACACTTAAAGATCGGTCCCTTACAATGTTCCCTTCCGAAAATCACTTAAACACACATTACTTATTACTAAATTACGATATAGATACAAAATTTGACTGAAATATAGTTCTTATATACAGAAATGTTACTTAAAGATTTTTTTACTATCGGTCCATATATGGGTGCGTTCAGAATATGGTGCGATCGGTCCCATACAATGTTCCCTTCCGAAAATCACTTAAACACACATTACTTATTACTAAATTACGATATAGATACAAAATTTGACTGAAATATAGCTTTTATATACAGAAATGTTACTTAAAGATTTTTGTACGATCGGTCCATATCTCCCATACTAGGTCCTGTCGCAAAAATTTGAATTTCCTTAAATCTTTCACACAAATCTTTCACACAAATTTTTAAATATCGCTAAATCATACATTAAGGCGTTTTAAAAAAATACAAGATAATGGCGTTTTTAATGTACAATAAATCTTGCAATTGTAACAGATTTAAGCTGTTTAAATCTTGGGGGTTTTCTTTTTAAAACATGAGAAAAATTATTTCTACAAATATTTGATCAATTAATAAAATATTAAGATAAAAGTAGTTGGTGAGTGT